CGTTCCAGACTAAAGGGTTATAAACTGTAGTGTCTCCTGGTTAGTTTATCGAGGGACAAACAGTGGAAATTGTAAATACAGTTGAATAAGAAACAAAACTACGTAACAATTTTCGGACTATTGGGCCTTCGGATTATTTGGCCTTCGTACTAATGGACCTTCGGATTAATGGGCCTTCGGACTTTTATAACCTTCGGAATATAAGGGTGTCACCAGCATGGGGTCCGAAATTCCAGGACTTGATCATTTTTGTGACATACTTAACTGCCATCTTGAATGAGGATCATTTTGGTGACACACAGAGGATCATTTTTAGGGGTCCAAAAGCGACCTAATACACTACTAGTTCCGATATCAGCCCGAGGGATGATCACGATTCGAGGACAAGGGGTGCGATTTCAAAATGGTAATATAATAGTGTTTAATGTTATTTGTTTTCCTTTATACTCGTCCAACTCGACAATTCTTGTAGGAAGTTCTAAAATTGCCTCGCCATCATTAGTCTTCGTCGCTTTGCTTTAAAGCTTTAAGACCCCTACTGCATGTGTATCACTAAAAGTAATCCAGAAACGGCACTATTCGGAACTTGAATCGAGTGGGATTCTAATTTATTTTTCGTCAGAAAATACGCGATTGTTCCATGATCAACAATATTCATAGTCAAATTAAAAAGAGATGCGTGGAAGAGCCAAAATATGAAAATTTGAGGAAAGTGTGATATCACTTGCGAGGGGATGTGACATTTTCAAGGGGGTGTGATATGACTTTCATGGGGCGTGATATCACCCGGACTGATATCAATTTGTGGAAATTATCAGAAATACAAAAACGATATCATCGGTAGTAATCATATGATAATACACATGAAGGGAACACGAGTGGTATGTTCACATTGATTGCTTTACAGATACAATACTGACCAACAGATGCAATACTGACCAAAAGATACAATACTGACCAACAGATGCAATACTGACCAAAAGATACAATACTGACCGAAAGATACAATAGTCACCAACAGATGCAATACTGACCAACAGATACAACACTTGCCAACAGATGCAATACTGACCATTTGATAAAACACGAGCCAACTGAGCAACAAGTTCAACAATAAAATTAAACTTGAGACATTTCCTTACTCGAGGTCATCAGCAGGAAATGGGTGTACCACAAGGCAGCATTCGGTTACACTATTTGGACTTAAAATTAGCAGTATTGTCAAAACAGTATCCCCTTGTTTCAAAACAAATCAAAGACCATTCCACCATTCGTTATTCGGTTTTTCCGCTCTTTTTAAAACACAAATATTGATATTGACCAAATTCAGTCATTTCGCACGATAGAAATTCCACCCTGGCTCAGGAATTCACCTGAAGTTGACTTTTCATTGACTGAAATGGTTAAATCAGACACAGACATTTATACCTTTCGTTAATCCTTCTCAAAATTGCAGTTGAAATATAAAACATTTCCACATTTATATACTGACAGTTCAAAAGATAATGGTAATGTTGCCGCGGCCATGGTTACACAAGAGGAAGCGTCTGGATGCCGGCTACCGAACAACGCCTCAATATTCTCGGCTGAAGCGCGATCTATCTACCTCGCCCTTGAATATATTCAAAGAAATAAAGTAATGAGAGTTGTTATCCACTCAGACTCTCTTTCTGTTCTACAAAGTCTTAGCAATAGAAATATCGAAAATATTTTCATTCGTAATGCATTAATACTATATCATGAACTTGCCTTTAACTTTCGTATTGTTTTTGCTGGGTTCCAGGGCACATGGGAATACCAGTCAATGAAAAAGCAGATCGTGCCGCAAAGGAAGCTTTATCGCTACCACCTGTTGTTTTTTTAAATTCATTTTAACGATTTTAAACCATTTATTAAACAAATGGGATACATAAACCAATAATAAATTGCACTCCGTAAAACCTATTTTCGGTGAATGGTCTCCAGGCTATAGAGACAACCATCGAGACGAAGTTATCCTTTCCCGTCTTCGAATGGGTCATACATACCTTAAACATTCATTTCATGTTGAAAAGGCGAAGATAATCCTCGGTGCATAATGTGTGATGAGTCATTCACCGTTAAACATTTTTAATTGAACTGCATTGACCTTCTGTATACTCGATAATGTTTTATGTAACATTTCAAGACTAAATACCATTCTTGAAACTATTGAGATTAATAAAATTCTAGGTTATCTGAAAGATGTTGGTCTGTACTATAGACTATGACTTACAATTTTAATCTTCTGTGATAAAATAAGCATTGATTGTTTAGTATTTGTTTTTTACCTTTTAATTTCTTTGATGTTTAATCCTTTTTGGATCTGTGTGTGTTTTACCGGTTGATGTCCCTAATGACCTTATATGTGTTTACGAGCCGTTAAGAATGTCATAATTATAATCATTATTTCATCTGTGGTAGGTGTATCTCTAGTCATATGTACTGCGTGAGACTTCATCTGTGGCAACTGTTTCTCTTGTACTGCTGTGCCAGATTTTGCCTTACTTAATTCTTTATTATCAATGTACAAATTTTAAATGTTTTACTCTCTGAAAAGATTGAAGGAGATGTGTGTAAATACTTTAGATGGAGAAAAGGCGGATCAAGGAATGATATAATAAGTGTAGGATATGTGACTACAATGTATTTATTGATTTAGATTGCAAATCATTACTTGGACTTGACTTAGATTTACAAGAAGCAGACCATGCTTACCCTTTCAGAATAGAATAGTCTCCTTGGATTACACTGTTGTTGCCACATTCTTCGGTATTCAAACTAATTTATATTTAACGTGACCCACTCTTTAACTTTCGCATTGCTTTTTGCTGGGTTCCTAGGCACATGGGAATACCAGTCAATGAAAAAGCAGATCGTGCCGCAAAGGAAGCTTCATTGCTACCACCTGTTGTTTTTAAAATTCATTTTACCGATTTTTAACCATCTATTAAACAAATTTTAAAAGCTCAGTGGCAGGAGGAATGGAATACATAAACCAATAACAAATTGCACTCCATTAAACCTGTCGGTGAATGGTCTCCAGGCTATAGAGACAACCACCTAGAAGAAGTTGTCCTTGCCCGTCTTCGGATGGGTCATACATACCTTACACATTCACACATGTTGAAAGGCGAAGATTACCCTCGGTGCATAGGATGTGATGAGCCATTCACCGGTAAACATTTTTATTGTTGGACTGCAGTGACCTTCTGTCTACTCGAGAATGTTTTTATCGAAACATTACATACTTTAAATCCCTTTTGGAAACTGTTGCGATTTGTGTGATTTTGTGTTAATATACCCATTTAAGATTTATAATATTTGTCTTTTACCTTTTGGTTTGTTTAATGTTATTTCTGTTTGGATCGCTGTGTGTTTTACCGTTCGATGGCCCAAATGACCTTGTATGTGTTGACGGGCCGTTAAGAATGTAATAATATTTTTTCTCGGCATAAATGTTATTCTTACAAAATAATCAATCCCCTCTAACTTTTATTATTCTATATTATTGGTTTGCAATAAAACTATGCAAAATATTTATTCCGATGAAAAATAATCCAGATTCTAGAAATTGCATTCTTTCACTTTATTTAAGATAAATGATGTGTGCTCGAGAAACCCCTGATGTATTTCAATTGCAAGTCCATTTTAAAATCATTTTATCAACTTATCCAGAATAAGAACATAACAAAAAATATTGTGAAAATATACTTAAGTTAAAATGAGATCACGTTGCACATGTTGGTGGTTTTCAGCATTCATAAAAAGTGTTAATGATTAAATAGCCATGCATGGCGTCAGTATCAACATTGCATTTTTCGTGACAAAATTAAATATTTTGGAAAACGTGTATTTATGAAAAGTTTTCGTTCGAAATCAATATCCAATGTAGAAATACTTTGAATCATCCCAAGACAACTTTGATAAATCATAAAATTAGTTAGAATAATAACGATATCACACTGAACATATCTGAAAAGTAGCGTTAGCAATGATTGCGCCGAGTTATGAATCATGTGTACTATTATATACGTTTGGAGTTCAATACAATTCCTCGATATGTTTCTTTAGAATCATAATATGACATTTTCTCATTGAAACAAGTGTTAAGATAGAGATATACACTGTTAACGTTATATTATTCTTTGGACGGAACAGTCGTGTTTAGAGGACCAGCAGTCTCATAGCCGTCACTTCCCTCCTCCATGTTGATTCAGGACCGTGATCTGCGTCAGTGATAATATCAATTTTCACCAGCAGTTTTTTCAGTGTGGTAATACTACGATACTTCAGGACAGTATGACGCTCCACGTTCTTTGTCTAACATTACGCGAGAAAGAATAGTGATGCGACTGGTTGGTGAAAACATTAGAAATTGTGCCAAATCCTATATTTCTGTAGAGACGTGTTTTGTTTACGAAATATTGATGATTCTCATTTGTGCGTCTTTGATCATATTGCTTTTCTACCTGTCACTTTACCTAATAAAATGCATTTTAAAAACCTTCAACAAAACGACACGAGAATTCATTCCTTACTGTTATTGAAAAATATTCACTAAAATTGATTAAAATCCGATATCTGATTAATTCTTTCTTTGTTCTATTAAAAACAGCTATTTTAAAGTTATCCAATTTTAACACTTTAGATACACACCACAGAAACACTTTTCATATTATTTAACTGTTGTTATTTTCCGTCCATGTCAAGAACCCCAATCGTGATATCTACCATACACAAGTGACAGGTAAATTATTTGTTCATCTAGATATCAATGGAATTAAAATGCCCATCTATTAATTTTATGAAATTGTAAATCTTTGTATATACGTTTTCTGAAAATTACAAAGTTAAAAACAAAAAATACATCAGGGTCATTCAAATGTTGGTTATTGGTGTTTTCTATAAAGAACTCTATCGAATCTGATCTGGTTTATCAGGATTATTGACCACAATCAGCGTACGCCAGCCTGTAACAGATTCGAGGGTATTTTGTCACGTGACTTGTGATTCGTTTTCTCTAGATTCTACATTATAGTCTATTCCACACATTATTTCTCCCTCTTCAACTTCGGTATCTTCGGAGTGCTTCGTGGAACCATTGTGTTGATTGCTTACCTCCCCGACCACGTGACAACAACAGGTTTCCGGTTTGTATTGTTGGTGTATATCGTCCTTGTTATCCATGATCTGTTTACAGTGAGAACTGTGACATGATATCTGATCGTTATGTAACATTCGATAGTCTCGTTTATCTTCGTCCCATACGTGGAGCGGAGCACGATAACCATACTTTTTTGGTCGGCATAAACATCCGAATGGTGTAAAACATCCAAAATAGATATACTGTCCCTCGTTTTCCTTCACTCTCAAGCCTGGCTGTTTAAATATTTCTTGTATTCTCCATTTCTGGGAATGTTTCCTTTTTAACGAGTCAGTTTTAACTATTCTGGTTTTAATGACGGCTTCTCCTTCCGATTTATGTTTGGGCGAACTTTCTATCACTGCCTGTAAAATATTAGATGTTTCGAAGGAAGACTCGGCCGTTTTTAAATAAGAAAACACACATAGAATTGCATAGTCGGCCATTTTGTGTACATCCTTTTCATCCGATAACATCGCCAGTTGGTACTCGTATCCAATAGAGAGTTCCGTGGATACAGCATCAAGGGTTTCCCTTATGTCGTTCTCGGAGATTCCTTGTAACTTGTACATAATCCTGGACGCCTTTGTCCTGCGCACAGCGTGGACAATTTGCCGAAAGAGACTGCGTATACTATAGCGCCCACTCTTACGACAGGACTTGGCGAAATCTCCACGACTCTCGCTGACCACCATCTCGATTTCCTCCTCAAACGTTTTATCGAAGCAGATCGAGTAGTCACTATTGCCAGGTTGTATATTAATGCCGTACTCCCTCAGTATAACTGTAAATAAGAAATATCACCTGTTATATCAAATATTTATATTCAGTTTACGACTGGCGACTGAAAACACGTGGCCAATCAGATCAATAACAGTGTGGGAGTAGAGGGAGAAAAGGATCGATAGTTAATAGACATATTGGAACATCATAACTTATTAAGTTTCCTTACGTACTCGTTAACTTGTAAGTACACGGACACTGGTCAGTACTCGTTCATTTGTAAGTACTCGTTCACTGGTAAGGTATTATCATAGTCTTAACGGCCCGTCAACACATAAAAGGTAATTAGGGTCATCAACCGGTGAAATACACAGCGATCCAAATAAGAAACAAAATTAAAAAAAAAAAAACTATAAGACAAATGCTAAAAAATCTTAACTTGTTATATTATCACAAAAGAGTAAAATGGTAAGTCATAGTCTATAGTACAGACCAATATCTTGAACTGGTAAGTACTCGTTCACTAGTAAGTACTCAGACACTGTCAAGAATTCGGGCATTGTTCGGGTACTGGTAAGTATTCAGACACTGTCAAGTACTCGGGCACTGTTCGGGTACTGGTAAGTATTCAGACACTGTCAAGTACTCGGGCACTGTTCGGGTACTGGTAAGTATTCAGACACTGTCAAGTACTCGGGTACTGGTAAGTATTCAGACACTGTCAAGTACTCTGGCACTGTTCGGGTACTGGTAAGTATTCAGACACCGGTAAGTACATGTGCTACAGCACTCGTAAGAACTCAGACACGTGTAAGTACTGACCTTTATATTTTCGGTGCTTTGCGAAAAACTTTGCCGTGAACCTCTTCCGGAAGTTGGTCTGTCGTGCTATTACTTCTGCTGATGTCAGAGGGTTGACAATCTCTTTGTGCGTTTCTGGCATATTGGAGAAATATAGGCTTAGTCCCGCTACAGCGTCACTTGGTAACATGTTATCATGGTAACGTTTCACTCTGAAATAAAACCAATATACATTTTACGTGCCTTCTTTAACAGTCCTCCTATTCTAAAATGTAAGTTCTCTTCTTTCTAAACATGAATTCAAATTTGTTTAAGCGACGATTCAACACTTCCAAAATTTCGAGCACTAAAGACGAGAGTAATGATTTGATTTGTGGTGTATCATGGGCTCAAGACACTTTCCATAAATCCCATATCAGTAAACACCATTTGGGAATGTCCAGTTACGTGGACTATAATAGATCTGTCACAGACAAAGACGAATTGTCTAGCTGTAGCATAGGACATAACTGTTAATAATGTTTTCCTTGTTTGGCTATATTATTATGGAGAAGAGAAAAGAATGTCGATTGTCAAATCCACTTTCGGTTTATCTTCTCCAAGAAAGATGGCGGACATATATAGCCAAGGAGGGATAGCTTTACCTACACGTACATCCTAGACTACGTCTAGCGATACGTGACTGTTAATCCTATTGTTATGGTTTTAACTGCTAATTGGTGTTATTGTTATTACCGCTGGTGAGAACTGTTATCTGATTGGTGTTATTGTTGTAACCGCTGGTGTGAACTGTTATCTGATTGGTGTAATTGTTATAACCGTTGGTGAGAACTGTCATCTGATTGGTGTGGTTGTTATAACCGCTGGTGAGAACTGTTATCTGATTGGTGTTATTGTTGTAACCGCTGGTGTGAACTGTTATCTGATTGGTGTTATTGTTATAACCGTTGGTGAGAACTGTCATCTGATTGGTGTTATTGTTGTAACCGTGGGTAAGAACTGTCATCTGATTGGTGGTATTGTTATAACCGCTGGTGAGAACTGTTATCTGATTGGTGGTATTGTTATAACCGCTGGTGAGAACTGTTATCTGATTGGTGGTATTGTTATAACCGCTGGTGAGAACTGTTATCTGATTGGTGGTATTGTTATAACCGCTGGTTGTGGTATTGTTAGGTGAGAACTGTTATCTGATTGGTGGTATTGTTATAACCGCTGGTGAGAACTGTTATCTGATTGGTGTTATTGTTATAACCGCTGGTGAGAACTGTTATCTGATTGGTGTTATTGTTGTAACCGCTGGTGAGAACTGTTATCTGATTGGTGTTATTGTTATAACCGCTGGTGAGAACTGTCATCTGATTGGTGGTGTTGTTGTAACCGCTGGTGAGAACTGTTATCTGATTGGTGTTATTGTTGTAACCTCTGGTGAGAACTGTTATCTGATTGGTGTTATTGTTGTAACCTCTGGTGAGAACTGTTATCTGATTGGTGTTATTGTTGTAACCGCTGGTGAGAACTGTTATCTGATTGGTGTAACTGTTATAACCGCTGGTGAGAACTGTTATCTGATTGGTGTAACTGTTATAACCGCTGGTGAGAACTGTTATCTTATTGGTGTTATTGTTATAACCGCTGGTGAGAACTGTTATCTGATTGGTGTTATTGTTATAACCGCTGGTGAGAACTGTTATCAGATAAGTTGAATGTCTCCAATTATTAGCTTAAAAATCACATGTAGTGAGATAAACACATTAGGTACGCTTCATCCCAACCCCCATTTATACCCCTTAATTCAATATCTTTCAGCCCCTATCTAGCCAAAGCTAACATCCTTTTTATAAGTCTGTTTAATTAACCATTAAGGGAACCATATCAATTATCTCATTCCTAACCATATTAACATCTCACCCACAAATCGGAATGTAGACACTTACGTGGTGCCAGTAACAGTGTGAAAAATATGGACATTACTGAGAACAATGTACATCGTTGGAGACAAATATGGACGAAAACTAAAGGATGGACACAAAGATATACCAGAAGGATCACATTACTAATGAATAACCCCTAACACTGGGACTTAAAATGGAGGTCCAGGTAGGAATGTCCTACTGGCACAATGTAGATCCCTTTGCGGTTTTCCGCCAAAGCACCGGCGTGATAACGCTGGCTCAGACGTTAGGACTAGTGTTGGGGACTATTTATTAGGATTTTGAGGACTTTCAATGTATTATAGCTACAGTCGAAACTCATTAGCTCGAAATTCAAGGGACCGTGGAAAATATTTCGACTTCACGGATTTCAACTCAAACAAAGTGTATAGATCAGGTTGACGATATCAGTTTCCTGGTGTTGAATACGGTTGTACGAAGTAGTGCTGCGATAGCACACAAGCAGCGTAGTTTAGTATGTTTTTTTCGAAATGGCAGTAAATAAACAAACAAATTTAATTCCACACAACAGAACTACGATATAGAAGAGAAAAAATCTTAACTTGAAAATTATTTCGACTCAAACGGATTTTCGAGGCGATTTCGAAAAAATATTGAAAATCACATAGATTTCGTGCTGCGGCGTAATGCGAGTTTTGTAAGTGATAAAATTATGTCAAGGGGGCCTCGTCAGAATCCCTTCCTACCTCGTCTCTATTTCGCACTGAAAATGTTGTGTAACAACACGGCAAAAACTCCAATAACTCGTGTAAACGCATACAAACTATATAATTGGCAATATTTAAAGTGATTAAATATCAAACAACAAACCTTTAGGTATTATGCAGTCCCATAAAATTCAGTGTTTTATTCTGCCACACAAAAGAAAATGGCCACCAACATTCCGTAAACGTTTCATCGCATGACTGACCGCCTAAGGTTTGCTCCCTATATGTGTATAAGTCTATACACCTTGGACGGATAGACCTGTCTCACCGAATGGTTAGCGTGAAGGACTTACACAATGTGTGTAGTAAAAACATTGGGTCGGGTTTCCGTGGTAGTAATACATCAGAATTAAAACTTCGAGCAATTATACACAGTATTTGACACAAGCGGTAAAATGCGCGTCTGTATCTCGGAGTAGTAACTAAAGGACTGCTGTGATATTTCACAAATTGAAATCACTGAATTATTATCATTCCAATCAAGTTATCGGGTGTTTTATTACCTCCTTCGACGACTCTAAGAATGGCAAAAATCGAGAAATATCATCAATCTGACAAAAAGATTCAGAGCTGGCAAACGTTAAACTTGTTTATAGAAAATCAAGGATGACGTAGCAGTGTTTACAGAAGGCAAGTAATATATATATATATAATATACAAAATGATGTAACAGAAGTGACATAAGTACTAAAACATTTACTGGTGTCAAACACTAAATCTGAAGTGGTACTACGTATGAATTATGTATGTACTGACATAGGGCGGTGGTACAATGAAAAGAGGGTGGTGAAACGCACTATGTCCCATTATTGTCAGGAACATCTCTCCGACTCGTTATGTGCCCTTGACCTGGCGGATCTTCATTGCTGGTGACAGCAATGTCGAATGGCCGTGTAACCGCATTGAAACCTTACGTTTTCATAATAAAATTATGTGTGTCTGTATGTAACAATAACTCTGCATTGCAGATTAATAAATTAAAGAAAAGATCTAATTTCGAAACACCAGAAGTCGAATGGTAAATCCATTCATACCTGTTGTGGAAAATCGTTCTGGAGGGCTGACAAGTATCAGGAGTACAGCAGGACTCATAATGGTAATCAGACGGGTGCCGGCGATCCAGGACAGGAATTGGAATAAACAACCAACAGATATACCAAAAGGTGATCAGACAGAGCAGAACAAACAGATGGGTCTGGAGTCGAGCCAACACAGGACTGTTCGGAAACTGTCGGTGGGAATTTCATGGTCATTAACATGCCTGTACAGGGAGTTGTAGATTTAAATCCCATGTTGCTTTTGAAACATAGATTCAATGACATCAGAAATAAATTAGACAGTTCTCTCTTAGACAGAGGCATCAAACGGTACCTTTCCATTCAAGGTCAGTTTTGAAACCCAAAGGGTAGATCATGGAGCGCGCCACACCTCATGTTAGAGATAAATGTAATATCAGTCTTAAATCAGAAGATTTAGACGACTGCATGAGAGAGTCTATCAAAAAGATATATTCTTTATCGAGTATCAGAGACATGGTGATAGCTGGGCCCTCGACAAAGTCCTCAAAATCCAAATACACGTGGCACGTCACAAACCCCTGAAAGCATCTAGCTACATTCCTCTACCGATCAAGTGAAGGACCAAACATTCTGTTGTCAATGTTCAAAAATAAAATATGAGTCATGCGGTCGGTATTGGCTGTATTACATCCATATCGAGACCGAACTGGGTTTTACAGGAGTCTTATTCCCGGTACTGATGGGCCGTGTCCAAACCATGTCCAACCCACGATCTTTGTTGTCTGAGCGATTAAGACACCGTTGACATGACAGGTGTTTCAGATTCGCCAGAGGGGATACATCCTAGAAGTACATTTAGATCACCACCGGGAGCTCTACAACCCAAACCGATGTCAAATTACTGCAAATATGTTATCGCTATATACTTCCAAGTGGTCAGCAGATCTAGAGATGAAGGGGATATCGACCGAAAAGCTACTAATTTGGACCCCAAAAGAAATATGTCTTGCACTACCGCAATTGCAAACAATACCTCTCATTAGGTATGAAATTGACCGATGTCCTACGAGTGCTTTTCATCCAACTGTCGCCGCGGCTGACGAGTTAAATGGGTTTAATACTGAGAGAAGAAATATGGCCAACAACGAGTGTGAAGGACTTCTTCAAGTTGATGAACAATAACGTTTTCGGGAAGACGATTAAGAATCTAAGGAAGCGAGTGGATGTGAAGCTTGTCAACAGTCAGAAAAAGGCCAAGATACAATCGTGCAAGCCTTCTTTCCACGTCTTCAAGATAATCTCGGAAGAACGCGTGGCTGTTCACATGTTGAAGCAGAAGTTGTATCTGAACCGGCCGATCTAGATCGGCTTCAGTGTCCTAGATATCTCCAAACCCCTCATGTATGACTGCCACTACAAATATCTCAAGTGTATGTACGAATTCAACTCAACATTACTTTTCACAGACACAGACTCACTGACATACGTCTTGCGCACGAATGACCTATA